TATGCCAAAACTAATGCATACTTAAGCTATTACTGTGACTATATATGTATATATACACTACTCGCCAAAGTTCATCATATTATGATTTTACCATTACCACACATACACACAGTATTTTGTGGGAATTCCTATTGCAGCAGCAAAGCTAATACTGTGCTTCTAGCCTTCTGAATCGAGCGCTGCAACATAGAGATCAAACTACCATTAGAATGTGTTCCTATTCCTTAACTGAAGCATGCATGTTCAACGACAATGTAAATGTAAGAAGCGTAAGTCCGGTCAGAAGGTTTAAAGGGACCGCTCTGACGAATAATGACGAATAGTCAGGTTTAAAGGGAGCAGAGTTATGGAGAAGCTCACGAATAACATTTGCAGCTGGTGTCGCTTTGAGACAGTCCTTTATATAAATCGACTTATATTCAGCATAGGGTATTTCTCACAAACGGGGATATGGGGAAAATATGAATACAATATATTCCAAAATCCATGATCTGCTGATCACACTCTAAGGCCCGATTTTACTATTGACCAGCGGGAATCAAAATTTGTGACCTAGACACAAATTTGACCAATCAACAAGAAAGATTTGTGCCCTGCTCGAAGCACAGGTAGAACCTGAAGCAATATCAATATTATTGAAAATAATAGTGTCACTACTGAGAGAGATACGAGTAGTCTTGAAGAAAAGTATACATTTTCAACAATCAACATGACTATATTAAGGATAGCTACAAAATCATATTTTTTCCCTTTATAGAATCTACAGGCAAACGGTTTCTTCCAAGTACTTTCATACTCTCACTCAACTTTAGTTGTTTGCAGGCCACTAGTACTGCTTGTTTTCATATATGTATAAAAATTTAAAAAACGGGATTATAAATCCATTTTAATGATACTTTATTGTACCTAGGGATGGCCTGGATGACCCAAACCTTGAACGGATGAAACACGCGTACAATGAATTTACGAGTCAATGAAATACCAGAGGAAATAGTAACGCTCTATTTATATGTCAAAAAGGACATCATCATTAGTATAATTTATCGTACGTTCTGTCAAACTTGAATGTATTTCATTAAAACATTTTTGTAGCCTGCGTAAAACGTAATTTTCGAAACTTTTTTGTCGGCGTCTCTACTGGATAAAGTTGTTCTCAATTTTTTGTAGCTTCATAGATAGTTTTGATGATGTTTTTTCCTAGGGATTTTCCTTCGTCTTCTTTGCGGGGTAAAAGTGTCTGCTGCCTTTTGGTTATCGCCTGTTAACGCGAATACCAATTTTTCTTTGAACTGAATCTTACTCAGGATACTTTCATTTTTATGAGCGTCATTGCAGCTATACGAGGGCCATTCTATATATTATGAAATACATGAAAACTAAAAGCAATGTTTAGAAAACTAGTTTAGTTATGTTCAAAGTATTCTCTTACAGCATCAATGTACTTCTATAGCCTGACCTACCACAAATGAAATGCTTCTAGCCAGTCAGTTTTTGAAATGCCTTCAACAAACTGATTAACTGCTTGATCGATTTCCTCTTCGGACGAAAATTTTCGACCACGCAGATTTTTTTTTTCAAATTGTTGAAGAGCCAGAAGTTACATATTGCCAAATCTGGCGAATAAGGTGGTTCTAGCATTTGATGAGGCGCTGGCCTAAAAAGCAGTTAGTTGGGCAGTTGTTGCTAGAGGCATTGTCGTCATGCAGGATTGAACACAACAGCTTTTTTTACACGAAGATAACAATGCAAAATGGTGTGCACTGTTACGGATCCTACCCCACAAGTTGCCTCTATAGTCGCATATGTGCAGCGAGAATCTTCTTCAATTAGCCGCTGAACTTTAGCAATGCTTTCTGCAGAACATGGCCTACCACTACGTTCTTCATCGGCCAATTAAACACGCCCTCTTGAAATTCAGCATACCAGCGAAACACTTGCCCGCAACGGAGCTTGACTGTTGTAACCGTTCGATACATTGATGTTCAGTTAAACCAACTTTAAAGTCATAGTGAATAATAGCGCGCGATAACTCCCTCGAGACAACTTCATGTTTCGTCTTAAATTTGTTTACACCGCGTGCACTGTAAGACGCTTACAAATGAACTGGATCCGGCGACTTACTAATAAAGGACTGCTCTTTCTAATAGTGCACTGTTACCGGTTTTAAGTAGTATAGCTAATGCGTATCTCAAAATATAAAGCGTGCCCCTCGAACAACGTAGGAGTTAATAATATTACTGCGTCAAATATAAATTCGATACCAGGTCTTCCATACCATTTTGATCCTTTTCTTGGTATGTGGTACAATAAGAAGACATGCTTGACGAGATTTTGAGCTCTGCGACGTTAGCGACCAAACTTTAAATACCAGTCACATGCATCAGGTGATATTCTGTACATATTAATCAAGCTAAAGATATCGGGCACATGGCAAGGATCAAATAGGTACTTATATCATTTGAATACGACCAGCAGTTTACGGGGTATTGCTTCCGATACTGTATGAGAGATGACACAAGTAGCCGACATCGGAACGGAATAAGCTAGAAGAGTTTCATATATTTTCTAACGCAGTAACCGTATTAACTCACATAACTGTTCCCCATAAACGTTCAAACCGGGTACATGACTACAAACCAAATCTACCGCTAAGTGAGTAATCAAAAGTAAACAAAACCACACAATCGATTTTGCCAATGCCCAATAACTAATAAACACATCCCTCACCAGCCCTACAATCTATGTAAACAAGTGCTCAACAGCCCACAGGTCAGAATCAACCCAGCCTGCCGCTGTCTATCTGCCGATTCGACCCGATTTGCACAAGCATCGCACGCCCCGGCATTACTCAAAACCAATTACCTCAAACATACATCAAGTCGGCTCTGATTGAACATAACTTCGATTTTACGGCGTTCGCTCCCATAATCAAACTTGCGAGAGGGTCCAAACATGAACATTGCCATTCCGCAATCGATTGTTCGATTTTATATCTCAATTCTGGAACGTTATCATGTGCGGCGTTTGGGAAATTAATGCTGTTTTACCGACCACCCTTAAAGTCTTCTCTCCCAAGCTTATAGAAAATTGTTTTGAAATGCGTAAACATCTTCTGCTTTATTCAGGTGAAAGTTATAGATATCACCTAGGAATCATTTTACTTCACACGCGTACTGACGAGGAAGTACATATTGTAATCGCGAAAATGAGATATTGTTTTAAGGATATCACTAATTTCCGTCGATCTGGCTGTCCGCTAATCCTTGGCCTATACCTTGGAAGTACGGATAAGTGCGGATTTTGATCAAATATTCACAACAGTTTACTGCTATGCCAAGGATTTCAAAAAAGTTTGGGAAAATCGACAAAAAATAAAAACGGAATCAGCAAATCAGCATTTTGCATTGAGACCCTCTGAGGAAAAAGTTAGTTGCTAACTTGAATAACAGAGAAATTAAATAGATCAAATCCGTCAAACAGGTATACATAGTTAGTCCATAGGCTTACTATATTTTCCTAACCCGTAGTGCCGTCCATCCGGCAACGTCGCCTGATTGCACGATCTCTTGGTGAAGCCAGAGAGCAGACGTTGGAACTCATATCGATGCAATTTCTTTATCTTCCTAAGTTTTAAGGGCAAATGCACGGGGAAATCTATGATGTATGAAATATGTCTAATATGTGCATGAAAATACTGCAGTTGGAACTGTATTAATATACTGTATGTTTGAGCAATCTTTATATTGTAACAGACGAGCCAATGAATTATGGACAGAAAGACTGGCAGCCAGACCGACGGGAATAACTGACATGTCTTTTGAGATGTACCTATATGTCATAAACACACAGAATTTTTTCGTGATTACAATACTTATTTGCCAGTAGGCGTTGGAAGTAATAACAGAATCGCAAGAACTTAGCTTCGCTTTCTGTTCCAAAAAAAGGCCATCCCAGTTAATAATAGCATACCCCCGGATATGCCCTGGAGAATACTGTTGGCAAACAAAACCGTACATGGGGGATTGGAATTGAAATGATTTAATCCAAGCCATTGCTAATATAATTACTAATGAGGATGGAAGTTAATTCATTCATAACTCAAGAAAATGCCTTTTGACTTAATCATTTGCTGGTTTAGTATTCCAATAATTAGAAATAATACTTTATGAATGATTAACTATTATTGGATTCGATTATAGCTTAAATATTACAAAATGGGTGGTAAGGGCAATCCTTATACTTCGTAGAATACTGAGAATATGCCAGTATTCAGGCTTTTTATTTGCAGCCCTTGAGCCAGATGTTATATCAAGGGAAAATACTTCCTGGATCTTTTTTTACAATCCGCCGTTCGGTTTTTGTTTAAATCATCACGTACTGACTTGATAGGACAAAAACTAGCAAAGTATTACGAAGTTTGATACTTAACAGCAGACTTTCCGACAATAATACGTAAGATTTGGTTAGTTTTCAGCATATCAGTACGCAACGTAGCCAAAACTTTGCGGTCTGCTCTTGGTTCCTGGTTTACAGAAAACAGCGATCTATGAGCGGACTGTTTTTGGTTAGGTGGCTCGTTCACAGATTACATTCTGTCAAAAACTGCATGTATACTGAGGCGATGTTGCCAAACTGACAAAGAAAATGCTAGATCCAAACTGAGCTGAACGGAGCTTTTTCTTTCCTGATGGTCGCATTATGAAGACTAGATATTCACCTTGCCTAACTTAGAACTACTCTCCCCTTTGAGTATGAAAAACATGACTACGAAGATGAGTTAGAAATGTTGAACATACAATACTTTATATCTTGGTATCTACGTCCTCTCATGCCACCATAATGAAGCTAAGTATTTCATATATGTTAGATTGTCACCATAGAGCCTTCTGAAGAGTGAGTAAACAATTGAAGCATAATTAACGCGTGTCGTTACCCAAGATAAGATAACTGGATAACTAGTGGCCAGGAAAACCCAAAGCATTTGAGTAATTGGTTATTTCAGCTATCATTCATGTAAAACGCGTCGCTATTAAATAACAATAATAATTCGTTATCCACTATCAACAACAACATTATGGCATAAGTAGATATGGGAAATGAGACTCCAACTGATATAAAAAGGAGCGTCAGTCAAGAAACTGAGGAAACGTAACTAACATTCACCGAGTCCAAACATCTCAGTAATCAGAAAAATGGCAACAACCAAGTTGTTCGTAGTCGCACTCCTGGTGGTGGTAAGTAGCGCAGTAATAATAAATAAATTTAAGGTCTGTGAGAAAATAAGAACTAGCACTAACAACGGTTTGGCTTTGGTTTCTACTTTCTAAGTCAGTGACAATATCATTCAGCGCTTTATGATGATAACTTTATAAATAGGCACTCAAGTTAATAAGTTCAAATTTGGAGTGGTCAAGAGGATGCATGCTGTATTTTAACGTAAATGGTATATTCTTTTTAAATAAAATTGACATCATGTGATACCTAATTTCATAGTTTCTTATGGGAAGTTAATAATGTATCTAATAAAACGCACGCATTTCAACACTTATGCGTAAAGGTTTGAATAAACTGGCCATACGCTTTCAATACCTTTTGTTCATGCGTATAGTATCGGAAATTTCAAACATAAATCTATTTTAATGACACATCAAAATCACATTATAGTGATTGATGGCAATATAAGCGTTAGTTCAAATTTCAAACACTAGATAGCCCCACCCTGCATGTTCGTGTGGTGTACTCTACAATGGCCAGAATACAACTCCGTCCTAGTTTCCACTTCTGTCAGAGGAGCAATTACTTTCCCTATTAAGCCTGCTATGGATGCCCTAGCACAGGATAACCCATATAATCCCTCGTAATGTTTACAGATTTTCCTGTCTCGGCACAGATTATGTGCTTAGTCCTATTATATGTGTGCAATTCCAATTACGAAATCTGAGCCGGTAGAGGTAGCGTTAATGCCCCAACTGACTATAAAATCGACTACCTCATTTCCCTCGACACCTTCGGATCACAAGAGCGGTCGTATCGAAGTCCAATGCACATGAATGGCCGAAGTCAGAAGGGTGTGTCTGGCAGGTACATCGCGGCATCATGGACGAGAGTTCTGAGGAGCAAAGCCCGCTAGTGTAGCGGTAGAAGAGAGCTAGTTTGCCGACGGCCCGTCAGTGCGAAATGGCCCCGAGACTGTCTGTTAGAGAAGAGTCATCAGTCAGTCGGACAGCCCTCTTCTGGGCAGCATCGAGCATAAATAATTAATAATACTTGTGAGGAATACTCTTATTTGGGCCTGGTATAGATTGTTCCATCCCCAAGCAGTGATAACTTCCAGGCTTCTCGTCAGAGAGAAAGTCCCTGCTGGTCTTTTTTTCTCCAACTCACCGGCAGAGGTCGTCTTGTCGCTCCAAATTTCCGGTTGTAGAGTGCTATCATTAGCAAAGCTATGGACTGGGTTGATCGACCAGGAAAGGAGGTCGTTGATATGTCAGAGGAACAGTATCCAAGCCAGGACCGGTCCCTGGCTTGTCTGTCTTTTGGTCGAGCCGAAGATTATGTTTAGTTTGAGGTAAAATAGACTAAAGTCCATACTAATGCTAGCTAATGTGTCTTAGCATCCTTTGAAAAGTGCTTCCGTTGTTCCTAAATTCGCTCTCCAATATTATCTACATTTTTTCTCTCACAGTAGTCAAAGTTATATTTTTTGGTCGAATCCGATGGCAAAGCTTAATAAGCAAATAAGAATTTTGGAAGTGAGACGAGTCTTGCCTTCTATCAGATGCTTAAGGTAGCTTCAAGTGTCGAATACCGTTACGTTTCAGCATTTTTATCTGCGAAACCTTATGCATGTATTGTACCTACTAATGTATCACAAAATATTGACTATTATAATTTTAGGTAGTTGCAATACAAATTATGGAGTCCGAAGCAGTAGAATGTCCGTCCCTCCGCCACCCTTATGGAAGCAGCAGACTATGTGGTCAGCAGTGTGGCAGGTTCTGCAGTCTGCAGAATTGTGCAAAGAAAGCTTGTAATGGAGGAGATTGCTCTTGTAAAAGAAAATAGGCTAACTTAAACTGTTCCACGATGTTTTTATGACCAATACACTCTTTTTCACAAAATCGTATGTTTCACTTATAACGAAACCTTAATAATTAGCACGTAGGCCGAATCAAGTCTCTGTATGATTGAGGTACCTTCGTAGTGTTTCGCTGTACTTAGATGAGGTCATTTTTTAGAAGCTCAGATGTCCAGAAGAAGAAAGTGGTCTTTGTCACCAAGAGAACTCACAATCGTTCTGCTACACGCTGCCAGGTTACGTGCGCCAGCCGCAATCGCAACCGCTCTGCCTTGAGTTCACATCAGGAAGCATCACAAACGACGAATTAGACTGAGGTGAAGTTTTTAATCAGTTTTGTTGAAGATTTCGGAAATCTGGAAGGGCAATATCAGAAGTCGCTGTGCTACATTGATTTGAGAATTGGAGCCGAGCGGATGCCTTCGGACAAGCTCTAGATTATGGGCGGTTGTGGCCAGAAGTTAGCAGATGTTGCCTGGTCTGCGTTCATGGTGTTTGACCCGGAGGTGGATTAGAGTAGAATTTGAGTAAAGTTAGGGTTGGATTGGGTTATCACATTGCGATGAACTCGTAGTGTTGAGTAATGAGATATTTAAGATGAGAATCAGTACATTGTCGATAACCTGCGTTTTCATATTGTTTATTGGAAGTTTCGGTTGATAAATCGCCAAAAAGTTAACACATATTAGAATTTATCGTTTCTTCACTTGCAAAATAGCTACTTGTTAATGTGAAGCTATTTCTCAGTGAGAAATTCCCCAGCCACCGTCTTGAAGTTTTCAGTTGTTCTTTTTGCGTTAAAATGTGGTATATTTATCCATCAACTTCATCACATCATGATTAAACTGGCTAACTTGATCTGTTCAAATAATAAGTATGGGAGACTTTTTTGAAAAGCACTCTGATTTAGGTCGTGCTAAGAGTTCTCAAAAGAATGTAGTTGCGCTAAAATGAAAAAACGTAAAGTTACTATTTACAACCTTTCCTAAAAGCTTGGTGAGTCTCAAAGCTAAAGTTTCAGTTCGCCATTTCTGGAATTTTTAATAAACTACCAAATCAAAGAAACTTGTGAACTTCGAAGTTATACGAAGCGTCCTTTCCAAAGATATCACATAATTGGTTACTCTTAGTACGTATAAAGAAAAGTCGGCTCTGCCCATTCCTCCTGTCAGGTCGACAGCTCTGTCACTAATTCCTGTCATTTGGTTTAAGAGCGTGAATGTTTGACATATTTTGGGAAATTTGCAGGGAAGGGGGATGAGATATATTTATCCGGAATGGACGCCTTATATAATTACAATCGAAGTTCACAAGTTCCTTTGATTTGGTAATCATATTTTGGCGTCCATTGCTCGATATCACATATTTTTTTACCGTGTAGATCTTCGGAGGCAAGATGTAAACATTGATTTGTTTTTTAGACAATCTTTTATCCAGATATGACAATGAAAAGGGGTTAGTGAATAAAAAAGATAGCGTCACATGTTGAAACTAATCTTAGAAAAATTAAAATTTAAATTACTACTTACTCTTGCGGTACATTATCCGTTACCCTTTAGGACATGATTCTTTGTATTCGGGAATTATTTGCGCACGAAAAGCTGCGCTACCCATTTGACACAACCTGGCAAGCGCAAAATCTTAATATAAATTTGTTATCATTATGTTTCTGACTCTTGATTTTATCATCGACGTACGTCTATTGATTACTTCAGTACAATTTATGATATGACGTAATAGTCATCTTTCGTGTTTTTGACTGTATGTGATATCGAGGAATGAACGCCGAAATATAATTCTAGTTAGTCTCCAATGTACTGCAGTTTTCAATATTACAGCATTCAAGGAATAATTGGAATGAGAAAAATAAAAAGGTGTTGAGGCCTTTCAGAATGCCTATCCATTAACACTTATTAATGAAAACATCTTACCGGTTCCAGCAATTGTCTGAAGCTCTAAAACCACATGAAAATCCACGGATTTTTCGTGTTGTCTCGGAAAAATACGAATTTAGTCAACAAACGTCAAGCTGGTAGCTTAAGCCTGATGAAATTGTAGTATGCATTGGCATTCTTACTACTGACTTGTATATGTATAACAGGGTGCCCCAGCCTATGAGGGTAAACAAATTTTTGTTCGAATTGAGATACGCAGACCCACAAAGTTTTTCCATGTCACTCAACTCAAAAAATAAATATACTGAGTGACATATAAATCCGAACACCCAGTTTAAATGGTTTTATTTTAATAAAATTTTGTATAGGTACTTAATGAAGCATAATAAGTAAATGATAAAAATTTCAAAATGATTGCACTGCTTTAAAGCCCTTTGACCTTTAATAATGTGTGGATGCACCTTGATGTGCTACGCATTCTCCAACGCGCCTAGGAATGCTTCTGATCAGGTGGTCAATGTCCTCCTGTGGTATTTCATTCCAGGCAACCACCAACTCCTCTCGGAGTGCTTCTAGAGTCTGAGGAGCACGTTGCAAATTGAGCAATCTCCTACCCATCATATTCCACACGTGCTCAATTGGGGATAAGTCGAGAGATCTTGGTGGCCATGGTAACAATGTGACATCATTATGTTGAAAGAAGTCTATTGTGACTCTTGCAACATGTGGTCGGGCATTATCTTGTTGGAAAGTTGGATCTGCCAGGGTGTCAAGATAGGGTAAAAGATGGGGTTCTAGAACTTCGTGGAAATAACGCTGCGCGTTCATGTTACCTCTGATGAAGATTAAAGGTGACCTGGAACCATAAGCTATAGCACCCCAAACCATAACTCCAACAGTGTGATGAACATGTCTTTCAACAAAAAACTGTGGATTCCTCCTTTCACCACGTCGCCTTCTAACCCTGGCACGACCATCGTGTATGCCTAAACAAAACCGAGACTCGTCACTAAAGACAATACTGTTCCATTCCTGATCCCAGAGTGACCGTTGTCTGCACCACTCAAGGCGATTACGTCGGTGTTCTCGAGTTAAAGGGAGGACCCAGTGTGGCCGGTATGAAAACAAGCCAAAACTTCTCATTCGTCGGTAAACACTTCGCATGCCAATAGGTCTTCCGTGTTCTGCAAACCATTCATTTGCAATGGACCTGGTAGTGGAGAAACGGTCACTTAAGGCCAATAATCTTAGGCGGCGATCTTCACGGTCTGTTGCTCTACGGCGGCGTCCAGTGCCCCTTGCTCTTTGCGTACGGCCTTCTCGAAGCCATGCCTGACAACACCTAACCACAGTGTCTACACTTCTTTGCACTCTAACTGCAATTGCCCGAAAAGAAAGTCCAGCTTCCCGAAGTCCCACTATACGGCCCCTATCAAACTCACTAAGTTGACGAAATCGTACAGGTCTCCGTACTCTAGGCATCGTAACCGATCGTAAAGGATGTCAAGAACCAAAATCCGCCAACATTGATTCTTTACTGCGGCTGAAATATTCATTTTTAGAGCGTTAGTGAATTAAAAAAAAGCAGTATAAAAACCGGAATGTCCAACTGATAAGGCTGAAAATTTTTTTACTTGTTATTTACAGTAAGATAAATACATTCACCAACTTTTATTAAAATAAAACCATTTAAACTGGGTGTTCGGATTTATATGTCACTTAGTATATTGCGATCGAGGAACGATAACTTTTGGTCAAACTTTGGACTTGAAAGTTAATAAGGAAACCATATATGGATTTCCAAACCTAATTCATATTCAACAAATAAAACACTGCTTTCTTTATATCCTATAATTCTTATATATTTATCAGTAAAAGAACATTATTTACTAAATGTACTTGTTATAGTCAGGATATACCTGCCTCTGTTCTTGTACGCAGCGTAATAAAAATTGTTTTTGTTCCTGATCAGCAGTGATTAAGCAATGGAAATCTTGCACTAATTTTACTGCTCTTTCTGCCTATCGTTGACTGCCCTCAGTGTTTACATCTCATTCTTAGCGTGTTGAAAAGAATTATTATGTTACCATGAAGTTGGACACTCGTCATCAATTTTGAGTCGACTGAACAAGGACTTGCTTTTGATTGAAACAGTCATCGCTATTTTTCTCTGAAATGAATAGCTACCATCTAAGCATACTGGTTTGTCCGTCCGACCACAAACAGATGTTCTGTGCTTCTTGGCAACTCACCAGCATCGTCTAGGATTGGCCTTAGGTCAGGACAACGAAGGAAACGATCTAAAGTATAAGATCTATCGAAACAAGACAGTATAAGGTGCCATCTATTGCTAGAATCGCAGTTTATGCTGGCTTATTTTAACAGTTAGCATACTATATCGAAGCAGTAAAGGACAAACGAAAATTTATTCGTCAAACTTACCATCAGCTGGGCAAGAAAGTTCGGTGAGATGTAACGTTTTCCGTGGGCTGATGGACTTTCTTTGGCTAAATTAGCAACAATGTTTACCTTAGTTTCCTCATAAATGTCATCGTCAAACAGAAATGTAAGATGTGATAAATACGGTAAGTGTTAGCAGAACTTTTGTAAAGCTGTATTTGAAATGGTCTTGTCAATTCTTTCGTAAGCCTTCATTGCCTATAAAAAGCATACATCCTGGTTAGGTGCTTTTACCGCTAAAGTGCATGGTTTCGCGTATGTTGCCTCTACGAACAGGCAGATAACAGATCTGCCTTATCCCTATTAGAAGGTTTGAGCTGGGAACATAGTAACCCTATTTTTAATGAATAGATTACTCTGATCATCCATCGAGCTTGATGCATGGCGCCTGGCAGTCAAATCTTAAATGTATCTCCGTCAAGAAATATTATTGAATATCGATAGCAACTTCTTTGGCCAACTCATGTCGATAAAATTCTAGCAGCTTGTCAGTCTCTGAAATATTCAGCCACTTTCAGTATAAATCTGAATTTTCCCGGGATTCACACTTTTCCAGCAATCGCGAAACTTCTTAAACATTAGAATGTCAGGGCTTGTAGTCACTTTATCGATCTTTGATTCAAACAAGCCTTTTAACACCAACTCGTTATGGCGGCAAGCAAAAATAAGCATTTCTCTATTAGGTTTC